GAATCACTATCACACAAGGCAACAGACCAAACCAGAAGAATACAAGTTGCAACAACAAGCACAATAATACAGTAAATAAACTAGTACGAGGTAAAATGTCAGCAATTTAACTCACACAACAAAGGAAAACTAGAAAACGGGAGGTACCAACTCCTGCGAGCAAAAAAAATACAATAAAAATACTGATACTACGAGTACCAGATATAGAACGAAAGAACCTGAAGCAAGTTTTCCTGAAGCGTGTCGGATCTGCTCAAGAGCACTGGCAAGTCCTGCTGTGTCCTGCCAGAAAGCTGTTCGGAAGTCACCGGAGTTTTCGAAACTTGCCGGCAATCTGAACACACCAGGAAATAGTCTGTCTTCGCCGGGAAGAAGCTGCACCTGTCCAAAGAAACAAACGCACCCACACACACAAGGGAGGGGGAGAGAGAAAGGGAAAAAGAGAGGGGGGGAAGAAGAAGATGGAGCGGGGGTCGCTGGAAAAAGCAAAACCAAAAGGGTCGCCAAAAATCAAGGGTCGCCGGAGTTGCACCAACTCACCTGGAACACGCACGTCCCGACTCCGACGGCGAGAACGGAAAAGAAGAGAAAGAAGAGAGAGAGAGAAAAGAAGAAGAAGAAGAAGAAGGAGAGAGAAAGAGAAAGAGAGTGGGAGAGGGAGAGAAAGGGGCTGGAAAGAGAGAAGTGGACTTACCTGTAACAGCACTTGCGGCGGCGACGGCGACAGCAAAGCAGCAGATGCCGAAGTGTCGCTACTGGGGTGCTACTGAAGATTACCGTTTTAAGAAGAAGAAAGACAGCCGAATGAAGAGAGAGGTGATAATCCAAAATTTGATAAATTTGTACGTTTTCAGAATTTCACCTTTCCATTTCTCCATTGTTACTATCTGGCAGGCTCAACTCACGCATATACTTTGAACGATTAATTTAAGCTACTTGAGGAGGAAAGTTACAGTAGGGGTGGGCGTCGGTCGGTTCGGTCGGTTATTATGAAAGTACGGTTCGATTTATCGGTTTTCGATTTTGTAATATTAATAACCAAATCAAATTAAAGTATTTACGGTTCGGTGCGGTTTTTTCAAAGTTCGGTTCGGTTATTTCCGGTTTATTTTTTCTGTTTTAAATGGTTGTAGGAGCAACAAGTATTTACGGTTTGTAGGAACATCAATAAACAAGGCTGGAATTTATTTGTTTTTCGTCCAGCCCAACAGCAAATTGTCATTTTGACTTTTGAGAAAGACAGCCCAGCAAATTGTCATTTAGTTGTTCGTCCAGCCCAGCAACAGAGAAAGACAGTGGCAGACGGCAGTCTAACACAAGTTTTGCTGACAATAACACTCTAATTTGAAACAACACTATAAATGAAACCGAGAATAGACTATAGAGAACAAGCACACAGAGAGCAGGGAGGCCTCCAGTGGCATCAGTGCAAACAGAACACCTAAGTAGCAAAATACCGCACAGTCCAGCAGTGGCAAACTAGTGCAAAACAGTTTAACACAGTGGCAAATCTAGCAGCTACCAAAGTCTAAAATAAGTCTAGAAATACCATCACCAAACAACAAAACAGTGGCAAACTAGTCACAAGCCACAAAGTAAGTCTAGAAAATGATACTTAAAGCCTTAAATACGAATCACTGGATGAGGCATAAGACACTTCTTAATATGCTTTACTAAGCCATAAGTGTCATAATACTTTGGATGACAATTATAAACTCGGCCACAATGAAGGCACTTTGCTTTACGGGCTTCTTCATTTACTTTAACTAGCTCAAAATATTCCCAAACAGGCGATCTAGCTTTAGGACCACGAGGCATAGTTGAACCTACAAAAAAAATTAGAAAATTTCACAAGTTAATAAAATATTTTTAATTATAAATAACAAAATAATATCATAAAATAAGCAAATCTTTAAACTTACCACTTGTTCAAACTATGCATCAACAATGCTATTATCTCTTTCAACAATGCAAGTTTCTCTTCCGCTCGTTGCCATATCTAAATATAATTTGATAAAGTGTGTCAATTAAACTTACAAAGTAAACTAATTTTCAATAAAACACTCATATGACGCAAAATCTTACCAAGTTCAATTTGCTCAAGAAACTCGAAATCTTCTTCAACATTAATAGGAGTACCCTCACATCTAAACCAATCTTGAACACAAACAAGACTTTGCACCAACCGAGGAGTCAATGAACTCCTAAATGAATCAAGAATACGGCCATCGGTGCTAAATGCACATTTCGATGCAACACTTGAAATTGGAATGACTAACACATCACGAGCTAGCTCGGATAGAATAGGAAATCGAGGCGCATTAATTTTCCACCAATCTAAGATTTTAAAGTCATTAGAATCATTAGACAACTGCTCTTGTCCTTCACCAATATATCTTTCCAACTCAGATTTAGCACCTACACTTCTAGAGTCTTCCTTTTGCCTTTTCAACAATTGCTTTGTTCTCACAGATTTTGTTCTCACATTCCTACTAGATGGCTCAAATGTGTCATAAGATGAAATAGATTTAGATGGAGATGATTGAAGATAACATCCTTTGGAGTATTTTTTTTTATACTCCCCAAACAAAGAATTTAAATAAGCATCCACTTCGGCGTTAATTTCTTCCCTGGTCCCTCCCCGAACATTTCCTCAAGTGCAAAACCAACATACTCTAATTTATTATGAGGATCTAATACAGAAGCAATGAATATTATTTTATTCATCTTTTCCGGTTCACCCCAATATTTTTTAAACTTTTCTTTCATCTTCCCTGATATCTTACTCAAATTAGTATCATCACTAGCTAAACAAGCTTTGAAATGACTATCAAGCTCACATATATCCTCAAAATGACAATTAGAAGTAACATAACGTGAACCTGAAATTTTTTCGGTGAGCTCGTGAAATCTTTCAAGAAACTTTATCACGTTTCTCACATTCGCCCAATCATCAGATACAAATGGACCTACAATATTCCCATCTTCACAAACATGCGTACAAAGATGAGTAAAAAAATCCATCATCAAAAAGATGAACCTTGTCAAAGGCCTTCTCAAAGTTTTGCGCCGTTTCCAACATCAAGTAGGTGGAATTCCACCTTGTAGGAACATCTAAACACAATATTTTACTGCATTCTACCTCTTGATGTGCATAACATTCCCTAAACTTTAAGGTCCTTTGCGGAGATGATCTCACATACCTCACAGCTTGTCTAACACGTTTTACAAAAACATCAATTTCCTTCAAACCATCTTGCACAATTAGATTAAGTATGTGAGCCATGCATCTCACATGAAGATGCTTACCACTCATCGAATTAGTTTTTCACATATCTAGTTGTTTAGACAATTCTTTGACCGTGACATCATTCGAAGAAGCATTATCAACAGTAACAGTGAATACCTTATCCAATTTCCATTCAAGTAAACAATTACCAATAACTTTTGCCATTTCGTCACCCTTATGACTAGAGATAGGGCAAAAATTTAGTATTCTTTTATGCAACAGCCAATCTCTATCAATAAAATGACCCGTCAAACACATATAGTTAATTCTTTGTAATGAAGTCCATGTGTCTGTGGTAAAGCAAATTTTTGGTTTTACTTCTCTAAAATTTTTCATTAGTGTAAGCCTTTCTTCATTGTAAACTTGAAAACAATCCCTTGTAATTGTCCTACGAGAAGGAACATTAAATAGAGGTTGGGCTATGCTCATAAACTTCTTAAAGCCTTTCTTTTCAACAAAACTAAAAGGTAATTCCTCCGTAATTACCATCTCAACTAAAGCCCTCCTAACTAGTTCTTGTTCAAATTTTCAAAGCACCCCACCATTAATTTGCCCATCCTTTTGTAAACACAATTGTGTTTGAGTATTATCAACTTTTCGTGGTATTTTTGGACACTTCTTTAAATGAGTATTCAATGATGTTGTTCCATTCAATCGTGAATCAGCCTTATAATCACGACCACAATGTCTACACTTTGCTCTATTACCTCCATTATCATCTTTAAACTTTTCAAAATGATCCCAAGCAGTTGATCTACATTGTACGAATTTTTTAATTTTTGGGCCTCGACTAGTTTCAACTAAATTTGTTGGTGAAGATGTGATTTCGCTTTCAGATGAACCCACCCCACTTACTCTACTTTCAACTTCTGCCATCTATAGAAAATCGAATGAAAATAGAATTAAGGTCGGAACTCCTATAAGTCTATAACAAATAGACACTACAAGAAATCATAGCTACGACGACATTTATTTAGCGACATATATAATAAATATCGAAAAAAACTAATTCTTTGATATTAAAATTTTGGTAAGTATTTTTCTATTCTAATCTGTTGTTCACTAGATTAAATTTATGGTTAACTGCCTTTAAAATATTTTACATAAGGTTAAAGTTTGCACTTTCTTTGATTCATCTTTTCATGTTGAACTGATTTTGTACTAGTAGTGATGAGATTATTAATATTATTTGGTTGTTCAATCGTTCTTACTGCTATAGAACCTTGAATCCATTTACTAGTACATACAGCATTTATCAAACGATTATGTGTAGATACTAATTTTTCTATGTTCATAAGTGAAAACATGTTTAATCTATACCTTTCTCTTTTAACTTTAGAGTTTATTTACATTACTTATTTATTGTAGTGGTATGTAAAGTAAATCCTTTGCTTTTTAGGTTGGCCATCTACCTAGAAACCTCATTTGGCAGAAATATCCAAATCCAAGCACCTTTCTCTTTTAACTTTAGAGTTTATTTATAATACTTATTTATTGTAGTGCTATGTAAAGCAAATCCTTTGCTTTTTCGGTTGGCCATAAATCTCCTTTGGCAGAAACATCCAAGCACCTTATTATTTTATTAGTGTACTTGATTGCTTTTTGAAATTTTGAGAGAAATTATGGTGCTTAATACTAAAGTAAAGTTGTCCATACGTTAGACCTGATTTTGAAATATATTGAAGTGAAAGACTAAGACAGTGAGACATTTTCTTTCTTCATACACAAAGAATAACAGTGAGATAATTGAAAATCAACATAAACAAAAGACTAACAGTCAGACTAATTGAAAATCAACATAAACAAAAGACTAACAGTCAGACTAATTGAAAATCAACATACACAAAAGATTAAGATATTTTCTTTCTTCATAACTCAGAAGAACTCGCACTAACCTGAGGATGAAAGATGAGCGACGAGCTGAGGAAAAAGGCGTCACAGTTGAGTTGAGGAAGAAGGCGCAGAACTCACAGGAACTCAGAAGAAGTCGCAACAGTCGCACAGCAAGAAGGAAAAACCGAAGAGGCGAACTTTTCAATTGATGTAGGTTTGAGAACCCTAAATCTAATTCTTTATTTAGGTTTGGGAAATGGAAAATGGGAAGTGACTAAGTGTAATGTGTATTAGTGATTTAGTCAGTTGTAACCGATGGGTTTGGATTTTGGATATTAGGAAGACTATCAATAAGTTTGGATTTGGGTAAACTAAATTGGGCTTCAGCCTAAAATGGGTAATAACTAATATCCAAAATTTCGGTTATTCGGTTAAACCGAAACACCAAAACCGTAAACCGCACCGAAAAATTAAAAATTAAAAATTTAAAAATCGTGCACCGGCCGAAAAACCGATTAAACCGAAACCGAAAAATCAAAATTCACGGTTCGGCCGGTTTTTTCGATTCGACCGGTATGATGCCCACCCCTAAGTTACAGTCAGTGTTCCAACACCCAACAATTTTTACTGGTGGAGGACTAATATAGCAAGTAGAGTAATGTCATTTTTATGCCCTCATACAATTAATTAAAGAGGGCCGAAGCTATGCTACTTTCGCTCAACACCCAACCATTTTTACTTTCGCTCATTTTCTATATGTCGCTTTAATTAAAAATTTTGGTGTAAAATATTTATGACTTTAGAAAATAAAAAAGGTATTAATTATTTTTTTCCCATTTTCACGCTTACCACTGCAAAGGCATTTAACTTTAATTACCCATTTAAAGAATAAAAATAAGGAGAATTTAATCAAATACCCCTTATGATTAATTATTTTAAATAATTTTCTTAATTGGCATGCCAAAACCTTAAACACAAATAAAAAAGGATGAGAGAGAATAGTACCTTATGAAATAATAATAAAAACTACAACCTTTAGAGACATATAGTAGTAGAAAACCCTAATAACACCCTAAACTAACTGAATTGATGTTTTTTTTTTTTTTTGGTAAATAAACTGAATTATATTGATGTTATTTTGTCCGAACATTTCTCTTTCAATTAACATGTTACGGTAAAAAAATAAAAAAAAAAAGAAGAAGAAAAAGAAAACCACCATATATAGCATATTTATAGTAAGGAAACTACTAACAGAGACCAAGGTCTATGAACAACCTGATATATTTTCTTTTGAATAACATATAGGTTTTGTTTTTAGAGCTTGACAATCTCTGGAATGTGCACTGGATACCTATCAATGCAATCTTGCCATGGTCCATCATTTGGTGTCTTTATTGTTCTATTACATTTCCAAACAGCACTGTTACACTTAAATCCACTCCCAAATGCTATCTGCCAAACTCTATCACCTTTCTTCATTCTCCCTTTAGCTTCAATATAACTCATCTCATACCATAGTGAAGAAGATGAAGTGTTACCAAATCTATGCAAAGTCATTCTTGATGCCTCTAAATGTTCAGCAGACAATTGTAGCTTCTTTTGAAGCTCATCAATAACAGCCCGACCGCCCGCATGAATACAAAAATGTTCAAACGCTTGTTTAAAATCCGGAATATAAGGTTTCAACTTGGGATTAAAAATTTTCCGACTAATAAGTGTGAGGAGAAAAAGGAGTTGCTCTGATGCTGGAAGAACTAAAGGACCAATTGTAGTAATGTTGGATTTTAAAGCTTCTCCTGCTATAACCATAAGGTCTTTTGATAGATTAATACCAACTTTTCCTTGTGGATCTTCTTGTTCAAATACACATTTAAATGCCTTATCATCTGCACCCTTATGTGTTCGGACCACGTGCATTAATCTGTACTTGGCTCTGTATCTATCGCGCCTTTTGCTGGACAAGAGTATGGCTGCACCACCCATACGGAATAAACAATTTGGGAGAAGCATTGCTCTCTCTGAACCTTTGTAATAATTAGGTGTGATAATCTCAGTGCTTACAACTAATGCATTTGAATTTGGATGGACTTGAAGAAGGTCTCTAGCTAAATCAATTGAGATTAAACCAGCACTACATCCCATGCCAGAAAGATTGTAACTTTTTATGTTACTTCTCAACTTGTATTTGTTCACTACCATTGCTGATAAAGATGGAGTTGGAGAAAACAAGCTGCAGTTGACAATAAGAATGTCAATATCCTTTGGCTTGAGTCTTGTTTTCTTCATTAGGTCATCCACTGCTGAGAATATGACCACCTCTGCTTCACCTCTAGCAGCTTCCATAGTTGGTGTTGGAGGGATATAATGAATAGCAGGAGGCAAGCAAGTTTCTTCTCCAAGGCCAGACCTGTTAGAAAAATATAGAAATTTTACAAAGTAAAAAGAAAGGCTTTGAAGCCTGAGAATAACTTTGAAAAGATACTCCTTGTCTATTTGGAAAATATAGACAAAACATGATACAATAAAATCATGATACAACAAAATAGGCTATAGTTTCTAACATCAGCTAATTTTGAAAACGTGTTTTCTTTCTCAAAAATTATATTTTGGTGAGAAGCAATTTGTGTTTGAAAAAAAAAAAATTGAGCAGCAATTAGTGTTTGGCCAAACTTTTTAAAAAGTAAATCTAAGTGTATTTTTCCGAAAATACTTTTCAAAAGTGCTTCTAGTAATAAACTATATTTTTTTGTTTCTCAAAAGCTACTATTGCTTCTACTCAAAAATAGTCTTTTTCCTTCCGCAAACTTGACAAAACACCTTAATTTTGAAAAAAATACTTTTCACCAAAAAAAAAAAAAAATACA